GCTTCAAAGAGAGTTAAATCTATTGGAAACACCTCTGCTCTATTCGTATCAAGTCTCCTATCCTCCTCCACAGATTTGGTGCAGCGATACTACGTACAGGCACGCCCATGAGCTCCACATCCTCCCAAGTCGGCATGCGTGTGGGCAGGGGTCCAAAATCTTCCTGCCACACCTGCGCGACCTCAGGAGGGGGGGGGGGGGGGGACGAGAACGAGGAGGAATATGCACATCTACCCTTGCTTGGGTGGGACACCCTCCAGCCGAGCGACCACTGGCTGAAAGCTCTCCCCCACTCCTGCTGCTGATGATTCCGCCATGGGTCCGTATTGGTATAGCCTGCTGTAACTGTCCGTCCACCCTTCCGACGGGCCGGCTTTTCAGTGGTCTTCTTAAAGAGCCTTGTCATCCCCTCATCCTCGTCGGCTCTCCAGCCCTTCTTTTTTCCCCTTCTTCCGTCTACACAGCACCAAGCTTCCAGCCGGGGAATTCATTGTCTAGTTACCCACCTAGCGGAGGCATTTATAGAAAATCACTAACGCTTACACCAGTGGGGGGTCCCTCTTCGTCGGGCCAAGATGAGTAGCAACCCCGACGTCGAGAAGCTGCCCGCGAAGCAGCCGGTGGTGGACAACCATCACCATGTGTCGCCGGCCTCGCTCGACCACTCGAACGAGGAGGTCGGGATCGTCAACAAGTCGGCGCCTCTGGTCCGCGAACTGCGCAACCGACACATGCAGATGATCGCCATTGGTGGGTGAATACCTAGAGACAGCTCCTTTTCGTTCCTTATCAGACACTGACAATGAATGCTCTCGTCACGCAGGCGGAGCTATCGGCGCCGGTCTTTTTGTCGGCTCCGGCAACGCTCTCCATACCGGAGGGCCCGCGTCGCTCGTTATATGCTACACCATCATCGGAATCATGCTTCTGTTCACGACGCAGGCTTTGGCCGAGATGGCCGTGCTTTTCCCCATTAACGGCGCCTTCTACACCTACGTGGTCCGTTTCGTTGATCCGTCCTGGTAAGAGACCCGTGTCAAGCGACCCCCGAAGTCACCATCTAACCAATCGGGATTCACTGCAGGGGCTTTGCCATGGGGTGGGACTATGCCATCAGCTGGCTCACCGTGCTCCCGTTCGAGCTCATTGCTGCGGCCATCACCATTAAGTACTGGCGCGAGGACCTCAACCCGTCGGTTTGGATCGCGCCTTTCCTCGTGGTCCTCATCATAATCCAGATATTTGGCGTCCGGGGCTATGGCGAGGTTGAGTTCGTGCTCAGCGTCATCAAGATCATGGCCTGCATCGGCTTCATCATCGTGGGCATCGTCATCAACACGGGCGGCACCGGCAGCCAGGGGTATCTTGGTGCGCAGTACTGGCGAGACCCGGGGGCGTTCCAGAACGGCTTCAACGGCTTCGCTGGTGTTTTTGTCATCGCGGTGAGTCCAGTACCCGCCCCCTTTTTGTCTTGGCTGGTGCTAAACGGACGAACGACTTCTTCCTCCCCCAGGCCTTTGCGTTTGGCGGCACCGAGCTCGTCGGCCTGGCGGCGGCCGAGTCCAGCGACCCGCGGCGCTCGATCCCGCTGGCGACCAAGCAGGTGTTTTGGCGCATCTTCTTCTTCTACGTCGTGAACCTCTTCATCGTCGGGCTCATCGTTCGGTCCGACGACAAGCGGCTGCTCGGGTCGTCCAGCGCCGACACCAAGGCGTCCCCGTTCGTGCTGGCGCTCGAGGATGCGGGGATCCAGGTGCTACCGCACATCATGAACGGCGTCATCACTCTAGCCGTTATTTCTGTCGCGAACTCGTGTACTTTCGGTTCGACGCGCACCATGCAGGCGCTCGCGGAGCGCGGTATGGCGCCCAAGATGCTTGCCTACGTCGACAAGCGCGGCCGGCCGCTCGTGTGCATCATCATCCAGCTCGCCTTTGGGCTACTGGCCTTCATCGGCGAGTCGGCCGACTCGGGCAAGGTCTTCTCGTGGCTGCTGGCGCTGAGCGCGCTGTCCTTCTTCTTCGTCTGGGGCTCCATCTGCCTGGCGCATATACGCTTCCGCGCGGCCTGGAAGCTGCAGGGATACTCTCTAGACCTTATCCCTTACAAGCCCACGCTGGGTGTTTATGGCAGTTGGATCGGGCTCATCCTCAACATCCTCTGCCTCATTGCCACCTTTTACAGCGCCCTTTATGTAAGGAAGCCAAGTTGCCCTTGTTTTTACCATGCTTTAAAGCACTCACAGCTAACGCACCTTTCTCCCCTCCTCACGCAGCCCTCTCCTAATGCCACGCCCGAAGTCGAGTACTTCTTCCAGCAGTACCTCGCAGCATTTGTCGTGATCCCGCTATACCTGGGATGGAAGATTTACTCGAGGGACTGGAGGCTGTATGTGCCGCTGAGGGACATCGATCTCAGGACGGGGGTGCGGATGCTTGACCTTGATGCCGAGCCCGAAGAGAAGAAGAGCTGGTTGATGCGTGTGGCTAGGGGTTTGTTTTAATCCCTACCACGGAGCTAACTAAGCCAAGTGGAAGCGATATGAAAGTCGGAATGTGTAGGTAACTAGTGCACCTAGCTTTTAGATACCAACTGTTTCCATTGTTATATTATGTACCTGTTTGTTATTTCTCGTTTATTTAGATGCGATTCCATCGTGCTACAAGTCACGATTCCCATCTGATCCATCTCATCTGATCTGCTCAAATGATGACTTCGAATTGAATTCAGCAATCGGTCGTGACCGCCTCAGCTGGGCGGCGGGGCAGTCGGGACTCGGGTCCAGAGTTGCAAGGCAGGCGCTCCACCTTGGCGCTCCACCTTGGCGCTCCTTGCCCGCCAAGTGGTGGCCTGTGGTGGCCCCTGGGTGCCAGCTGGCAGTGCCAGAGGAGGGCCGACACGACCCCCCAAGCCGTCTACTTGGCGGAGCTCGCAGTGACGACGCTGGGTGGGATTCGCTGCATGAAACCAGGCTTGCAAGAGCCTGACATCCATCTCGCTGCCGCTGCCTGCACTGATTGATTGACCGCGCTGTCTTTTCCGGCACTAGCCTACTGCTCAAGGTCGAGAGCCTCGGTTTTTTTTTCTTGCTTGCTTTGCTGAGCGACGAGGGCGCCGGCGATGTAACAAACGCCCTGCCGGAACCAGCCCTCTCTCTCTCCCCTCCCTCGGCTGCCATCCCTCGCTGCCGCTCGACCACCCTCACAGCTCAGAAAACGGACCCCAGCCCGAGCCAGGCATCTCGACCGCCACCGACCTGCAATCTAGACCTGCTTCTCCAACCGTCGCCGCAGCCTGCACCAACCCGCAGCTGCATACATAGATCAAATAGATTCCGACCTGCCACACCTGCCACACCTGCCATACTGGCCGTGCCTACCTACACCTACCTACACCTACTTACCTACACCAACCTAGGTTCCCGACCTGCCGACCAGACGCCGACTGCGAGTCTGCTTGTCCCACACTGTACTCCTTCCACCGCTACGAACTCGAGATCGGCCTGCGAGCCTCCCCCGCCTCCTTGGCCTCCCAATCCTCGCTCGAAACGACAACAGACGGCCTACCCACACCCACACCCAGCCGGCCGCGGTAGATGGCCTCGTCGTACGGCCACGGCCAGCCGGCCGCGCACGGCGCTCCGGGCCACCATGGCGGGCCTGGGGCAGCACCGGCTGGCACTTTTACGCCCGGCACCAAGATCCAGGTGGGCGGGCACCGGGTGGTGATCCAGAAGTACCTCTCCGAGGGCGGCTTCGCACACGTCTACCTCGTCAAGCTGCAGCAGGCAGTCAGCGGAACGGACCTGGCCGTGCTCAAGCGCGTGGCCGTGCCCGACAAGGAGGCCCTGCGCGGCATGCGCACCGAGGTCGAGACCATGAAGCGCCTCAAGGGCCACCGCGCCATCGTCACCTACATGGACTCGCACGCCTCGGAGCTACAGGGCGGCGGCTACGAGGTCTTCCTGCTCATGGAGTTCTGCGACGGCGGCGGCCTCATTGACTTTATGAACACACGCCTGCAGCACCGCCTGACCGAGCCCGAGATCTTGGGCATCTTCACCGACGTGGCCGAGGGCGTCGCCTGCATGCACTACCTCAAGCCTCCGCTGCTGCACCGCGACCTCAAGGTGGAGAACGTCCTCATCACCACCCACAGCGGCGCCCGCAAGTTCAAGCTGTGCGACTTTGGCTCCGCCGCGCCGCGCCGCCCCGCGCCCACGACGGTGGTCGAGTGCCGTCTCATGGACGAGGACGTCCAGAAGCACACGACCCTGCAATACCGCAGCCCCGAGATGATTGACGTCTACCGCAAGCAGCCCATCGACGAGAAGTCCGACATCTGGGCCCTCGGCGTCCTGCTCTATAAGCTATGCTATTACACCACCCCCTTTGAAGACCAGGGCCAGCTGGCTATCCTGAACGCAAGTTTCAAGTACCCGGCCTACCCCGTCTTTTCCGACAGGTTAAAAAGGCTCATCGGTAAGACGGAGACACGAGCAGAACCCGCAACCGTGACTAGCTGAGTTGGTGGCTGACATCAAGGTCGGGGGGTTTGCTTTTTCTCCTGGCGTGGCACGCATGCAGGCTCCATGCTGAAGGAGAGCCAGGATGCACGTCCTAATATATATCAAGTCCTTCGGGAAGGATGCTCCATGCAAGGCCGCGAGGTTCCTATCAAAGATGTGCGGCACCACCCCCTTTCAAAGAAGGGACGGCCATGAGAACGGGACGCTGACCGTGATTTGCAGATTTACTCGGGCAAGCCACGGCCAGAAGCCCACGCAGGCGCAAAACCCCCCGCCATTGTAGATAAGCCTCTGCCTGCACCCGTGGTTGGAGCTTCGTTTGCTGCTGCGCCGAAACCACAGCAGGCGATTCCAGAGGTCGTTCCTATGAGGAGAGGCCGCCCCCAACAATCCACGGCAAGCCAGCCGGCAGCACCCAAACCCAGCCCTTCTCCGATGAGGGCCACCAACGACGACCCCTTCGCTGCTCTGGACTCCAAGTCTTCGTCACTACCGAAACCCGGCGCTTCGGTTGGGAAGTCGGCAGATGAGCTCTCGTCTCGTTTTCCAACCCTGGACCAGTTCTCTCTCCTGCACGACCACGGGACGACATTTAATTTCGACGAGCAGCTGATGTCCCCCGAGGCCATCCGCCCCAAAGACCTTGACCAGAGAGTCACGGAAAGGCTGGCGGACGAGGTTTTTGCCGCGAGGTCGCCATCACCGCCAAAGCCGTCCCTGCACGGAGCCAAGTCCGATCATAGCAAACCGCCCATGATGTCGCCCCCGGTGCAGCCGGCTTCGGCGCCTCCAAGGTCCACCGAAATTAGCCGTGCATCGGCCATTATTGCGCAGACTCCAGAGCTGCAAGCACTCGCTTCACCGCCGCTCCAGGCGTACTCTCCTCCGAAACCAAAGCCCGTAATGGTGTCGACCGGGACCATGACTGGGACTCCTCCTGGTGAGAAGTTGCAAGCTCAGGCTCCGAGCTATAGATACAACACGGGAGACATGCACCGCTCGTCCAGTGTGCCGAGGATGCAAGATATGAACGGTAGTTTGCAAGCACGGGCCGAGGTTCCTCCAGCCCAGGGTAGCACGACTCCGCGCGTGTCGTCGTTCCCGTCCGGCACCGGCCATGCGCGCCAGCAATCGTCATCATCGAGACCTTCGCTGGAGGGGGGCCGCCCCAGCGCGGATCTCTTGGATCCCGCTTACAAGACGGTTGCAGGAAGCGCGCGACCACGGCCAGTGAGCACTCATCTCGAGTCGAACCTGGACTATCTCCGCGAGAGGGAGCGAGAACGGGAGTGGGAGCAGCAGCGCACTATTTCTTCTCCAAGGCTGATGGATCCCACTCCATCGCCTCGACCTGGCGCTACAGAAGAGTCAAATATTGCTTCCAACGTCGACTTTCTGCGAACGATGGAAGAAACCGAGAAAAAGAAGTCAGGAAAGCACATGAAGAGGTCCAGCCTGACGGCACTTTCGGGGACCAAGAACATACTGGCGGGCAAATTCGGGGACGCGTTCAAGCGTTTCGAGACCAACACGAGCGGCCCGCCGCCGGCGAGGACGCCATCGCCGCTGAAGCAGATGGGGCGGCACGACCTCACGCCCATCGCGGGGTCCGAGGCCACCGACGGGAGGTCCGACGACGGAGAGGTGCTCGAGGAGACGGACGACATGTCGCCCGAGATGCGGCGCGAGATTGAGCGGCGCAGGCTGTCGATGGAGGAGAAGCGGGTGGCAGCGGCCGGTGCAGAGTACCGGCAGAGGATTGCGCTGCGCGACCCGACGACGGGGAGCTCCTCGGCCACGTCGCTCCCCAAGAGCATCGGCGGCGTGTCTCGCGCCACGTCGATCCAGAACAAGGTGCAGAGCCTTTTGGACGAAAGCACCAAATCGACAGCGCAGATCACCCGCACCGCTCAAGGCTATGGCCACTTTACCGAGCCGCCCAATGTTGTTGGCTCGGATGAGAGTGGGCGCATCGACGGTGTGGCGAGAAAGCCGCTCGCGAGCATTCCGCGGCTGACGGGGCAGCAACAGCAGCAGCCACAGCAGCAGCCAAGACAAGGCGGGGCTGGCCTCGCCATCAACTCGGAACCGGGCTTCCAGGGGCGAATAGGGTCGCCTCTGCCGGTCGCGAACAAAGCCGACCCCTCGGCGACATTAACACGGCCGGTGCCTCTGATGCCCAGCACGAGCGGGCGACCGGCGGCACCTCCGAAGCCGGTGCATCTGAACAAGCACCTTACGAGCGGCGGCCGGCCGGCGTCGCCACCGAAGCCAGCCTACCTTGGCAATAATATCAACAAGCCCCTGCCGCGCGGGCCGCCGGGGTCGCAGCTGGTGGCGCCGAGCTTGCCAGGGCAGCCGGCGTTGGACATGACTGTGCAGGAGAGAGACGACTACCTGAGCGACTTCCAGAAGCGATTTCCTAGCCTGACATCGATAGAGATGGTCGAGCGCGACATCAGGGCCGAGGCGTCGGATGGGCGATCGAGGCGTTGAAAGAGGCACAAGAATTATAGACGGAAAGAAGTCATGATGATGCCAATCTTGAAAGAGCCACGTCCTGCTTGCTTGCTCCTTCCTTTGGTCTGTTTTCGTTTTGCCGCCGGCTTGCCCGGCATCCTTTCTCTAGGTGCTGCCGCCACAGAGCTTTGGTCAGGCAGGGAAGCAAAACAGTACCTACAGGATGTAGTATCCTAGGCTGGGCCGCGGGTTATGCATTTCTATTCTCTTTCTTCTTCTTCTTCCCTATCCTTGGTTGATTTTCAAGTCTTGGAAACTACATCTTGTTTGGGAACGGGCTTTGCTAGCTACAACTACACGACATAGATCAGCGGCAACAGACGCATGTGCCGCCAATGAAAACCCTGGGCACCTACTAGTACTTGAGAAGTGTGGTAACACCGACCTTGACACGGAAACGGGCGGATGCAGGCACATGCAAGATTGAGTCGGCGATTTGGCGGGCTTGGATAGGGGTCCGTCCAGTCCAGGGTGGCCCAACTCGGCGATCCAAATGCCCCTCCAAGCCCTCAGTGTTCCCCGCACTGCTGCCCGCATGGTTCCCCTTGGCCCTGTGGGTGGTCTCGCTGTCGGGCTCTACCTGGAGGCTGCCTGCGGTCTCAGGAAAAGCTTTCTGGTCGCCGATGGGGGGTTTTGTGCTGTTCTGCCCGGCGATTGAAGGAGGCAAATGGATTGTTGTCAATGTTCCCGACCCGGTCTATAAAAAGCGAGGGTCCGGGACGCCCACTTTGCACGAATCTCGGGTTGCAGCATTGAATTGGAACCAGACCTTTTGAACACCAGAAACACAAGCATTTGAGCCCAAGCCTCTCCATCACGCACAAACTACTGCCTCTTACCAACAGATCAACCAGTTACATCACTTTTCCACACACATCCCGCAAAATGTGTTTCGGCGCGACCTGTGGCACCTGCTGTAAGTTTCTCATTTCTTACACCAATCCTTTTTTTTATTTTTTTTATTTTTTTATTACCGACACGCAGGGACTCATACCCCTTCGCAGCCAAAAAGTCGTGGCGCGGCTGCGGCTCGCACATACCCTCGGCCATGTCGGGCGTCAAGGAGGAGGACTGGTGCACCTGCGAGCCAAAGGTGACGGTCGACGGCAAGGAGTTCCCGCCCGCCGCAAAGGCCTCCATCCCCGGCGCCGCCTGGCTCGGGAGCCTGCTGGGCGGCGGCGGCGGTGACGGTAGCGGTAGCGGCAAGCCTGACGGTCAGGACAAGAAGGGCGAGCTGTAAGCGGCGGGTTGGCTCGAGATGGGTTATTTACTTGATTGAGAGGGGGGCAGGGAGCGTATGTTTATGTATGTAAATGCGGTGGGAGCGCGGTGGGAGGCGTCTTTCACGAAATCCTTTTGCCTCCAAGACCTCTTTTCGCTCATTCGGCTCCCCCGCATACGGGGCACTTGATCCGCACCAGCGCTAGCACCATGGCGCCGAGCAGTGCAGAGAGCAGCTTCCAGCGTTGGCCACTAGAAGGCTCGTGCCAAGGTTCATCGCCCACGGCCGGTGACTGCGCAGACCCTCGTGTCGGCTTAGAGACAATTCCTCAAGGCATGCATCCCGCGTGCACCATTTCCACTCAAAATCAACGATTCCCAAAAAGAATGTTGACAAACTATCATGATACCTTGATATCCAAAGGAACCCTGTGTCCACTTAACCTTTCCTCCTTTTTGTCACTCCTGGCCCTGTATACAAGGTGTCTGGGGTCGGCCCTTGCCGTCCAGCGTTGCTTGACTGGACGTCCTGTTCGACGGGGTTTAAAAGGGAGCCAGCATCTGACTGAATCGAGGACCCTAACTCCCGGGAAAGCTCTGTTGTTGCCTCAGGAAGAGGTGGAACATCGAAATCTAACCCCAACGGCAATTGCTCAATGGCGGAACAAATGTTTTTGAAATGAGCGGGCGTCCACGTGTCGTAAACGTTTTTGGTGAATCGATACGCTGCCCATTTGTTCTTGCCGTCCAATTCTGTAAAATCGAAAGTACGGATCGGGTGGCGGTAATACGTTGTGTTTTCCCCGGCTATTATAGGGTAGTGGCCGTAAATTCGCACTGCTCTATGATCGTGTGAAATTGAAAAGGCGAGAATCTGACGGTGGACTTCACTCTCACGCTTGACAAGACGGAAAAGCTCCACAATGGCCCGCACCGCAAGGGTCATACTGTGGGCGTTCTGTCGATCCGCGGTATCGAGCGTTTCGGCGCAGCATTTTACCTCGCATGTCAGGAATGGGAAGTGCATACTGTATGTAGCCATGACGAAGGACTGGTCTCCGGAAAGGAAATTGCCAATAATTGGCTCCAATTTGGCGAGCTGGTCTTCGGTGAATGCCTCTCTTCTAAAGCCAACGCAATAATCGGGTTGGGGACGGGTGCCGGTTAGCGGGATCGAATTGTTCCACCCTGCGTTGACGCTTTCGATAAGGTGCTTGCAGCTTTTGTTGCGAAGCGCATGTGATTCAGCCGACGGAACGATGAGCCGGGAAATATCCTGGATAACCCTAGCTTCATTCGTATTCTCGAGGTTCTGACAAGCATCCACGAAGATATCGTCATCGAAATGCGTCCCGTTGGGAAGAGGTTGTTCGCCGTTAAGGAGGTCCTGGACAAGAGTTTTGCTCGCATCCGTAATACCTAGCTCGGACATTTTCATGTACGAGCCCTTGGTCTGAAGCAGGAGCGAGTACTGCGCATTTTTATACGGTGCACTCTTCTCCGCTCGCGGCTTCTGATCGCTCGCCGCCGTCGTGGAAGCGACAGAGTTGGATCGCTTACGCGATAGGCCGGACGAAGATTTCTTTCGCATGAGTAAACGCTCCATGGTGGCGGGCTTGAACAAGCCCTCTGGCCAGTGCTGTTCCTTGGCCCAGAACGCAATCGGATCAGGGTCGTCGTCGCCAATCAATAGCTCGTTGAACGTGCTCCCAGCAGGGGGTGTATGGGGTGTCCGCTGTCGCTTCTGGCCTGGGTCGTCGGAGCCATACTGGGGCGCGTCGATAGATTGCTTGCGCTTGCGAGCGGGTTGCTCCTGGATGCGATCGCGCTTTCGAGTTGGGCTTTTGCGCGATTGGATCCCCAGGGGCTGCTCTCCTGCCTACTGTTAGCAAAGAGTTCCATCCGGCGTTGCGAGGGATCGTTACCTTGAATCTTTGGCGCCGACGATGGGGGCCGCTCCTGGGCCGCTGTTTGGGCCCCAGCCCGAGCCATGACGGTGAGGATGGACAGGAATGCGAGGTCCTGTGCATGGGCTGTCGGGGAATCGAGGTTTTAAGATGGTGTCACCAGCCCCATCTTTAGGCGCCAGCCATGGACGCGTCGGATCGCGGGGCAATTTAGCCGCGCCATGCCACCCCGGGCCTCTATTTACTACCTAGGTAATCAGCCCCTCTTTCCCGGTATCGGCGTGATCGGGACTATAGCTTGACAGCAGCAAATACAACACCCGGCTCTCCAGCATGATAGCGTCCAACCCGGGTGACTAGTCTTCAAGAGGCACAAGTACCCAGGCGGTCCTGTGACTAACCCCACTGCCCAGACAGAACATATAATACCACCGTATAGCTGCACGCCCTCCATCCCGTTATCTTTTGCGTCCTGATCTGCCCATGTCGAGCTGCCCAAAGGCAAAGCAATCGCAAATACCTTTTATGTACCGTTCCAAGTAACGAAAAAAAAACCAATCCATGGCCCTGCTATCGCCCGCCCTCGCCGCGGCGGCGCTCGCGCTCGCGTGCGTCGTCTACGTGGTGCGCCAGCTGCTCCTCTCTGGCCTGCGGCGCGCGCCGGGGCCCTGGCACACGCTCCTCACGGGGGCGGCGCTGAGGTGGCACGAATTTCACGGCAACCGAACGCGCTACGTGCACCACCTGCACCTCCGGCACGGCCCCGTGGTGCGGCTGGGCCCCAACGAGCTCGCCTTTGCGTCGACCGAGGCCGCGCGCGAGATCTACTGCTCCGGCGGCAGCGGCTACGACAAGACCGAGTTTTATAACCTGTTCACCGTCTACGGCAGGAGGACCATGTTCTCGACGCTGAACAAGGAGGATGTAAGGTGCAAAAAGGGAGGGAAAGGGGGGGCCTTGTCCTCGTTCGTCATTGGCTCGCAACTTGATGGAGCGTGAGAAAAGGAAGAGTTTAGCGAGCGTGTAAAGGACATGGGCTTACAAGCGGCTTTTTCTTTCGTTATGTAGCATGCCAAGAAGAAGAGGATCTTGGCCGACAGATATGCCAACAGCAACGTGATGCGCCAGCCCGCCCTCGCCGGCATCCAGCAGTGCGCCCGGAACTTTGCCGACCTGTGCGGTGCTTCTGTGGGCAAGAGTCTTGATATCTATGTAAGTGCCGCACCCATTTTCCTCATCTATATATTTTCTCTAGCAACGAATCCACGCGGCTGATGCGCCCAGATCGGTATGTGCATTTGCCCATCGGCCGCCTTTACCCCTTCTATGATATCGTATGCATCACAACCAACAACCCCCCCTCAAAAAAAAAACACAGCCCTCCACTCGTACGCATTCGACTGCGTGACGCACCACCTCTTCCACCCCTTCGGCGCCAGCTCCCTGCGCAGCAAGGCGGACGAGGAGGTGATGCGCGAGGTCACCTTCGACGACAGCCTGCAGAACCGGCTGCTCAAGCACCACAGCCCGACCCTGCACGCGCTCGCGGGCCGCGCCGTGGCGGCGCTCGCCGGCGCCCGGCCGCGCGAGACGCCGCTGGCCGACCGCTTCGTGCTCGAGACGACGGCGCGCGCCAAGGCCTCGCCCTTTACGCTGCTCAGCCGCATGCACGACAGGAAGAAGGCAGCGGTCGATGGCGAAGCAGCGAGAGGAGGAGGAGGAGGGCTGGAGCAGGTCGACATCGCGGCCGAGTGCTGCGACCACATGGTGGCCGGCATCGACACCACGGGCGACGCGCTCTGCTTCCTCATGTACCAGCTCTCGCTGCCCGAGTCGGTCGCGCTGCAGCGCCGCCTACAGGCTGAACTCAAGGGCGCACAGCAGCAGCAGCAGCAGCAACCCGACGGCGGGACGACGCCGACGACGACAACACAGTTCGACCGCCTCCCGTTCCTAGACGCCGTCGTGCACGAGGGCCTGCGCTGCTTCCCCGCCATCCCCATGTCGCTGCCGCGCTACGTGCCGGCGGGCGGCCGCACCATCGACGGCGTCTTCGCGCCCGCCGGCACCGTCGTCAGCTGCCAGGCTTACTCGGTCCACCGCCTCAACCGCGACGTCTTCCCCCGCCCCGAGACCTTTGACCCGGACCGCTGGCTCCGGCCCGAGGGCGACGCCGCTCGCCGCCGCCACATGTTTGCCTTTTCCAACGGCGGCAGGGGCTGCATCGGGAAGCAGTAAGTGGGCAGAGCAGAGCAAGTGGTGGTGGCACCAAGGACAGGGAAATGGAACGCTGACGTGCTACCCACCCCCACCTCTTGGACAGCCTGGCATTGGCAGAGATGAAGCTGCTGCTCAGGGACGTCTACTCGCGCTTCTCGACCGCCCCGGACCCCTGCATGACGCCCGAGTCCATGGCCATGTCGGATCAGCTGATCTCGTCGCGGCCCGCGGGCCAGCGGTGCCTGTTGCGCTTCATCCCCCTCGAGGACCACGCCTAGTAGCGGGCCAAGAGTAGTCTTTGCTTACGGCCAAATAGTTCTGGGGCAAGCCTCCCGCATGCTCAACAAACCCACAGACCTCTGGACACGTGGTTCCGCTTGCCGTGTTCGACACAATCCTGGAGTCCTGCATCACCAATGCCAAGATGCTCGTTCGACAGCCATCTTTTCGTCGCCATTGGGCCCATGTTCGGGATCTGCAGGCAATAGCTGGCAAAGACGTGGCAGACTCTAGGAACGAGGCAGGAGTCGAGATTGGATCGACATCCACCTTCTCTCTTTGGGCTTCCCAGCAGGAAGACCGGTGTCAATTTTGATAGGCATCCCGGGAGATGGCTGCTGATAGGCTCAGATGAAGAATCAGAAAATCAAAACTTTTTTCTATGCTCGAACCAACTCCAACCAACCATATGCACGGTGACCAATGCCGCCAACCAAAAATACTTACGCAGACCAACCCAACCGACCCAAAAACCAAAAGCAAAAAAAGAAAAAAAAAAAGGTGCAAAAACTCCTACCCCCGGCGAAGCGTGGCCTTGGCAGTTCTTAGACCGCCCAGGCATTCAGGTTGAGCAGTTGGCAGCCCTCTCCGCCAGCCGGCCGCGAGGCGAGCTGACCGATGCGGAAAACAGTCTCTCCCTGGGCTTGGAGGGAGCTGGTCACAGAGGTTGCGCTCGCCGCGTCCACAACAATGGCCATGCCGATGCCGTTGTTGAAGGTGCGTGCCATCTCGGCGGGCACCACGTTGCCCGCAGCCCTGAGCCACGCAAACACGGGAGGGACGGTGAAGGAGGCCACGTCGATTTCGGCCGCCAGGTGTGCCGGCAGCATGCGGGGCACGTTCTCGGTCAGGCCGCCGCCCGTGATGTGTGCGAGGCCCTTGATGCCACCGTTGCCCGCCGCGATGGCGGACAGAAGCGACTTGACGTAGATGCGGGTCGGAGTCAAGAGGCTTTCGGCAATAGACCGCGCGCCCGCCTCCCATGGGCAAGGGTCCGAGTACGAGAGCCCAGACTTCTCGACGATGCGACGCACCAACGAGAAGCCGTTGGAGTGCACTCCGTCCGAGGCCAGGCCGAGCACGACATCACCCGAGACCATGGCATCTTTGCGCGGCAGGCGCTCTGAGGCCTTCATGATGCCCACAGCGGCGCCCGCAACGTCGTAGTCGCCAGCTTGGTACATACCCGGCATCTCAGCCGTCTCGCCGCCCACCAGGGCACAACCAGAGCGTCGGCAGCCCTCGGCAACGCCCTCGACGAACGATGCCGCCATGGCGACGTCCAGTTGGCTGCAGCCGTAGTAGTCGAGGAACATGACGGGCTCGGCGCCCTGCACCACCAGGTCGTTGACGTTCATGGCCACCAGGTCAATACCGACAGTATCGTGTCGCGCCGCCGCCTGAGCAATCTTGAGCTTGGTGCCTACGCCATCAATAGCGCCCACCAGGATCGGCGCGCCGGCATATCCTGCCCTCGACAGGTCCACCTCACCTCCGAAGCCACCAATCTCGGCATCGGCGCCGGGCCGCGCCGTGGCAGCAACGGCCTTCTTGATACGGTCGACCAGCTCGTTGCCCGCATCAATACTGACACCAGCCTGTGCGTACGAGAGCGACTCTTTTGCCGCCTGCTTCTGGTCCTTGCTCCTGAAGGCGCGGTGTGCAATGTCCTTTCGGAAAAACATACCCTCGAAGGAAATCAACGGAACGCCGTGGCTGTAGGCCTTCTGGACGGCTGCCTCAAGCGAGTCGGCTGTGGCGTTGGCCGCGATAACGCGCCCGCCCGAGGTTTGTAACTGCCCGTCCTGGGCCAGCTTGGTGCCGGCATGGAAGATGTTTACGCTCTCAGGTGGCTGCCCGACAGTCATGGGGGTGCCCTTGGCGTAGCTGTTTGGGTATCCACCAGCCGCGACGACAACCGTAGCACTGAACTTGGGCTCGACCTTGATGGTGACCTGGTCCAGCCAGCCCTCAGCGCATGCAACCACGATCTCGGCCAGATCGGTGTCAGCCGAGAGCAGCGGCAGGAGGGTTTGGGTCTCGGGGTCGCCAAAGCGCACGTTGTACTCAAGCACCTTGGGGCCGTTGGCGGTGATCATGAGACCGGTGAAAAGCATGCCGCGGAACGGGCAGCGGTCCCTGCGCATACCGTCGATGGTGGGCTGCAGGACCTCGCGCTCTATGCGGGCGATGAGTTCCGGGGTGGCAATGTTGGTCGGGGCGTAGCAACCCATGCCGCCGGTGTTGGGGCCTTGGTCGCCGTCAAAGATTCGCTTGTGGTCCTGCGCTGGGGGCAGGGATCGGATCGTGTAGCCGTCACAGAAGGAGAGGATGCTCAGTTCGTCACCCTCGAGGAACTCTTCAACGACGACTTCGTCGCCGGCAGCGCCAAAGGCCTTGTCCACCATGATCTGCTTGAGGGCATCCTGCGCCTCTTGAGCGGTTCCGGGGATGATGACGCCCTTGCCAGCGGCAAGGCCAGTTGCCTTGATGACGACGTTGTGGCCGACCTTGCTCACGTAGGCCGAGGCGGCGGCATGGTCCGAGAAGTTCTCGTAGGCGGCTGTCGGGATGTTGTGGCGCTTCATGAAGTCCTTGGAGAAGGTCTTGCTGCCCTCCATGCGGGCGGCATCCCGCGAAGGGCCGAAGCAGGGGATGCCGGCGCGGCGGAAGTAGGCCTCGACGCCATCGACGAGCGGGGCCTCGGGGCCGGGGACGACGAGGTTGACGTTGGAGGCGCGGGCAAGGGCCACGAACCCGTCAAAGTCCTCGGCCGAGACGGTCGTGTTGTTGGAGACCTTGGGCAGCGAAGCGGTGCCGCCATTGCCAGGCACAACGACGATGGACTCGACGCGCGGCGATTGGCTCAGCTTCCACGCCAGCGCATGCTCTCGGCCGCCATTGCCGATGAGCAGGACGCGGAGAGACGCCATCCCTGCAAAGGGTCGATGAGGGGGACTGTACGGAGGACAGTAGGGAGCGGCGAGGACGAGGCCGGTGCAGAAACAGCGAGTTGCTGGATTCAATGCATTCTCACGCAAGTCAGGCTTCTCTTAGAAAAAGATCAAGTTCACTCGAGGCTAGGAGTGGGATAGACCGGGAGGAGGAGGCTCTGGAGGGGCCAGCCGCCACGGCAAGCTTGTGATTGGGTCATGTCCGATCTCTTTGGCAAATTTTTTTCGTTTCTGTTCACCTGGGTTGAGCTTTTTTTTTGCCTCTGGAGTCGTTTCCCCTCCAGGCGGGGTGCGCGCCTTCGACGTCGTTCCAACAATGCAGCACCTTGGAGGGGTCGCCCCACCTGTCATGCGGAACGGGGCTCCACCCGCGTCGCTCCTACGCCTGCCCCTGCCTGCTCAGTGAGGCAACCCGAGTCAAACCCCGACACAAACCACAAACCTGTCAGTCAGCGTTTTTAAGGGCAGCCTTCCCGCCATCGCCACGGAACGACAGAAACCAAAAAGTAAACCTGAACCCCCTAAAATTCCTTCTCCATCAAGAGAAAAAAAGACAACAATTTTTTTTCTTGTGCCTCCCCTGGGCTTGTTCTTGCCGCCACTCGACAGCGCCATTCCCAACCGGCCGAACCCGCCCAATTGTCTGCTGACTGGCCGACCGTGCGGTCCGTTGAGTTCAAGAGCACGCCTCACAAACAAACACCATCCTCCGGTCTGCTCTGTACTGCAGCCCAGCCAACCCCCAGACAAGAGGAGAGAGAGAGAGAGAGAGAGAGAGAGAGAGAGAGAGAGAGAGAGACGA